AACCAAGATTGATATCGGACACTCAATATCTGTGGGGCACTTAAAAATATATAATAATAATAATAATAATAATAATAATAATAATACGAACTTAATAAAGTGTGCATTTAAAATAAGTGATAGGCTAAACAAGACGACGGTCGCGTTGTGACAGACCGAATGATATCGAAGATTCGTCTATGAAGACCATAATTTCCTAAAATAACAAGAAGAAAAAAAATCCTGCCTGAAATACAATCCTCCTGCTCTCACGAAGGAATGTGAGCCAGTGTAATTGTAATAGAACACAGTAAACAACCAATAATAATAATAATAATAAAAAATCTTAGTTACTAATTTAGTCGTGTTTACTTTTTCTCTTGTGTTTATATGTAATGTATTAATAGCACATGAGAGCCATTAAGCATACTAAGCTTTTAACGATTTGTTAGTTGATAGTTTTAGGTGAAATAAGACTTGGATGGTACTACCATAAAAATAATAAAATCGTCTGACTGAGTAGGAAAATCGTGTAGAAATTTAAGTAGATAATAATAATAACAATAACATTCTTATATATATATATATATTTTTTTTTTTGGTCAGAAAGTCTTTACTGAGTTTACCGCTGTTTTACCCGCTGATTTTATTGTGCGTGTGTGTGTGTGTGTGTGTGTGTGTGTGTGTGTTCTTCTCTGCTACGTTGATAATGACATGCATATAATGTCTATAATATCACTAATTTGCATGGTAAAAACAGATGATTTTGCAAGGGTTATTATTAGTTGTGTTGAAATTAACGACACAAACATACTGATGAGAGATTTATTGTCTCCACAGAAACTGCATTGTTATTAAATAAAAGAGCATATTTGTATGTCATGAACGTTTTAACAATAAGTTTATAATACTTTAAATTAGGCTATATATCCTAACGTAAGCTATTTCTACTGCTTCTTTGGAAAAGTCAAGACACTTTTATTTAACCTGCAAATTATTTTATTTATTAATAACTGATGCATACAAAGCATTTCTTCGAATAGACTGTTACTTCATTTGCGTTTTATATTAATTAACTTGGGTAAAAATGCGAAACTGTAAGGTTTTATGATTGCATATGTTGCTCAGCGATTTGCATATCAGTTAGCCTATACTAGGATTTATTTAGTTATTTTAAATAAATCTGGTGTATTCGTTTAAATAAAAAGTATGATTACAAAGCTACAACATGACAAAACGCGTGACAATAATCTGTTACTATGAATAGTCAATAATCATCTCATAAATTCAAACATGGTAATGCGAAGATAACATTTACATACTCAAATAGAAACCTGGCTATTTAAACAATTATGAATCTACAGGCTACATTAATTTAAGAAATACACCTTTGAATTATCTGTAATTATGTGAAGCTACGTGGACGCATCATCTTAATACAGACATACAGAGAAATGTGTTTTACTTTAATAGACCAGTATTCAGATCAGATATTTTCATATGCATAATAGTGCATATTTGAGTGGATTATTTTCATGATTTGCATTATTTAATTAACCGTCATACAAAAAACGAGTAAATGCGTGGAAATATCACTTTTGTGAATTGGTTCAGATAAACGTAATATCTCTTTAGTGATACCGTCGTGGTAAAAAAAGAGAGGCTATCTTGAATAACACGTGAATTCTGTTTTCAGTTTATATTAATCGCTTTATTAAAATCAAAATGCAGTGTTAATTTGCGCACTGTTTTAATATAAAGATATGCGTCTTCAAAGCCTCATTAGAATTTTGCATGAGAAAATTCTATAAATATTTCAAAACTTTTTAAACTAAAGATTACCAGGTCCTAATGGTTCTCACAATTTCTGCATCATGTTAAAACTCCCAAATATGGCCTCAATAATGAGTCCTGAAGATTGAATCTTCGTATCTTCAGATATAGGCTATACGGCACCCGTGAGGAGGTTGCTGTGTGGCGTTTCTTAGTTAATCTGAAGCCAATAAAAGGTACATGTGCCTGTGTGTCATCCATGAAACGTGAGAGCACATATATACAGAGAGTCAGGCTCTATACATATTTGATGGACCATCTCCAAATATGTAAACTTATAAGAGAACGTCTCCAGCACCTTTCTATCCATCGCTACAAACCTATAACTTGCCTACAAAAAAAAAGAAAGAAAGAAAGATGTTCACTGTGAATAAAGTCACATCGAAACACGTTTGTGATATTGTTTACTGAGGAAGAAGGTATAATGAGATCTCCGGCTGCAACCTCTGCGCGCTTCTCGCCATCACCAACACGTGCAGGTTATATTTTAACAGATATGCTGGAATGAAATAGCCCCATTACAGCATTGTAAGTGTGTGTACCGGACGGCTGACAGAATTGCAAACATGTAGGCTAGTTTAGCGTCATACGCCACGGAGAAGGTGACCGAGCGGCCGCGCACCTTGAATAAGACGAGAAGAGCGAAAAGAACGGAGCCCAGAAATGTGTGAACTGGCTTCTTTATTCAGTCCCTTTTCCTTTGCACTGGCGCTGGCTTCCCTTTTAAAGCCAAGATCTCCACCTCTTAATTGATTTTCTCATAATTAACTCTGCTCATCGATTTCACCCTCAGCGGAGATTCAGCCCGTGTGGCGGCGGACACTGACGGCCATGCTGGGGCCGCGTGATGGTATTAATACAACGTCGTTATCAAGAATATGCCGCCAAACAAATATCGACCATATTGATTACAAAGCTTCCCAAAGGAGTAAATACCATGTCCAGATTCTCCACAAGTCAAGAGACAAGACAGAAGCTCGCGCGCTTATACACACACAGCCGCGCACAGCTGGCCTCCAAAAATAAAGCAAATGTTAATACCAATGCATTAAACCATGACAATAACAAAGCCATTTATTAACGGGTTTTGATACATTTTAACCTCGACTTTGCAAACGTTCGTCAAAAACTGCAAAATGAAGCCGTGCAATTTGGCCTATTAACATTAGCATTCGGTGACACCCAAACTAAAGGTAAACTTTAAAGGTAAAACAATTATAAAGCGTTGTCCTTTCACAACCGTAGAGTTTATATTCCTCCACCATAGCTAAAGGCTTCGTATTTAGTCTACACTCGATTTACAAAAAAAAACAAAAAAAACAGCTTGACAGAAGCTTTGCTTCATTCATGGCAGAAAGCTGTGTTTATCAGCACGCGACAGATCAGAACATCGCAGGATGTTCGCAGGAACACGTACATGACCGTAAAACACGAGGGCATGCATATTTCACAGGGCGATCTCCGCTTTTCAAATCAAATATTCCCGCGATGCCCTGCGCCAATTACAGCATGCAGAACAGCGCGTGCAAACACTTCGCAGGAACATGCAGAGAAACACGAGTACCGACACAGAGAGAGAGGGTTGTCCCATGAATTCATTTCTATCTAATCAATAAAAAGAAAACAGCGATCCGAGCAAGAAATCATTAGAGGCGATAACCCTGTCCGCCTCTCCTGCTCGCTGTGTGCGGGACGGGTTTAAATGAGAAAGGACAACTTTAGAGTTAATCGTTTTCATGGAATATAACTCACAGAAACGGCAGAAAGTACAAACAAATATACATTAGGGAGGAACAAATAGAGAGAGCGAGTGAAGGGTAGAAGGATGACGTCATGGTATGGAAAGGTTACACATACGCAAAAGAATACATTTATGAAGCTGTCAGTTTGTTTACACATTACCAGCGTTTCCATCGATGCACGCGGCAGTCTCTCACTCGCGCGAGCTGCTCGGACACAGCAAAACACTGGGGAGAGAGGCCAGCTATTTTGGGGGTGGTTTGTGGGGGGAACAGAAAAGGGATCGGGTGAGGAGCCTGAATTTGAAATTAGGGGCGAAAGGTGAGGGGGTCGGTCGAGTGGAGGGCGTGTGCTCGTGTGTCTCACTGCCCCGCTCTACCTCTAGCGGTTTCCATGACTACACGTTGATCGCCAGTGTCGAGAAAGGCGCAAAAGCACATTTGTTATGGGTGAGAAATGAGAGAAAAGAAGCAAACATGTTTAGAGTGTAGACTTTAATCTTCATTTCCCCTTCTTCGTCTGATTACTTCAGTATGTGCTTTGCGTAGGTTTGACTAGGATAGATCAAACATATAGCTGCCATCTACTGGTGAAACGACTAAATTGCACACAAAACGTGGTGAAGTCTCGGAGTAGGCTTCTCTCCAATAATAATGTGCTCTTAGCAAAATTAGCATAGACGTACAGTTTCATTTACACCCTGTAATTATTTATTAAGTTGTATTTACAGCTGTTTAATGCATTTTCTCAATATCAATATCAACGTCAATTGACACACACCTCCATGTTTCAGCACCACGGAGAGAGCCCTAACTAAATAACATAATAATATTAATTTCCCCACCTCGTTCTGACCTAAAATATGTTTTGATTATGACTAAATGGATAAAGCAACAACAATAATACTGCAAAACCAATCCCAGTTCAAGAGAAATGTTTGGTGTCGCTGTTGGGTTGGTAGAAGTTCCAACCTTCTGATTCAGCAATATTTAAACACAGGGAATGTATATTTAGTCCAGCGAGCAGCTTCTTTTAAGAAAAAAGAAATATGAGCATCTAAATTATCTAAAAATAATACTTTAAAATCAGTGTGCTCCACACTTAATTTCATGTGATCCTTTAATCCACAAGAGGGGATATTTATATATATAAATAAAATATCTGGTACGTGAATTATATTCTATACAGTATTCTGTACTACATGGTATAATTAATGTGTTAGTGATTATGGGTGCAGGTGCATAACGTTAATTAAACTAAGAACACGAATGAACTGGAAAAAATAGCAATGCTTACAAGAATCCACCAAAGGGATTTTGCCACAACATTCCCAGAAGGAATTCCACAACTGAAATTAAACATCTTTTAGCACACAGTATCAGAAAGACACTATTTTTTTCTGACAGGACTTTATTAAGAATTATATAGTTATGTAAATGACACATAACAAAACAATATCAAGTAATATCATTTTAAACAAAAACATGAAAACACAAAAGCGTTCAATGTTCCACTCCCAATTCACTTATATCAGTGACATGTCAGGACTGTTCCAAACTGAATTACCACTACATACTACTGAACTTTTATCTTCTTTGTCATAGGAGTACAAATATAACAAAAGGGTCAACACATGCTTGCTTTATAAGAACACAATAACCCAGAAACATGACCAGAGAGGTTAGTCTGGTTGTGTGTCAAATCAGTGGTCATCTAATTAACTAACATTTTTTTCTATCAACATTTTACAAAGGCATCTGAAGGCCTTGATAATCCAGAACCTTGTTTCTGAGACAAATAACAGTAACTGAGTTGTAGGGACACATGTAGTCGCAGAGTGGTGTACACTGTAGAAAGTCTTTGCTGTAAAATGCAGAGTTAATCTCTGTTCCAACTTGTGGCATTGCCTGATCCTCAATACATCTTCAAATTTGGCAGCTTTGATAGATTTGTTCCAGTCAGGTAGTGTATAAAGGATTTCCAAAGTCATCTAAGTTGACTCTCATAAGCAGTACAACAGAGCACTCTGGAGCAGTTAAGTTATACAACATATTAAACGGTCCAATGGTGGAAGTCTACATTTGGTCATCTGAAGCATTGTTACCAGCTCCAAACTCTTAAGAAGTTATTATTCAATCTTTCAAAACCTTTTCAAACAGGAGATATATAAAAATAAAAAAAAAACTACATAATCTTTTTGTTAACTATGCATTTGAATGTTTATTAATCATTGATTTGCACATCCTTTTGGGTTACATATTTGTTGTGTATTCCCATCATTCCTATCTTTTATCAAAGAGGTTATTTTACATTTCCCAAACAAAGCTAAACACATAACTTGAATTCAATGGTTCATTGTATGTCATCACATTTGGAAACAGATTCTATCCACATACCACCTGTGACAGACTAAGTAGAACAGATGCAGAACCTCCTACTTTTGTTTTCTATGGGTGTGTGTTTGTCCATGTTTAAACTGACCTGCAGTGGAGAGAGAGAGCCAGCCCTATACTTGAACCTAACCTCTGAACAGTCAAGAATCATTTTTCCTTTAGATACAGTCAGTGTCCAACAAAACGGCTGCCCAGTTTAATCTAGACTCTTCCAACAGGCTCTCCTTCCCAGTGTCGCCAGCACTCAATGGGCAATGAAATGAAAAGGCAAAACATCTTCATCCATCATAGCTGAAGGTCCTGAGTGAAACGGACATTTTTCAGGGCCTGTGAGGGAAACATGATACACATTACGTAATATATATGGGAACAAAATATACTTTAAAATCCAAAGTTTGTGGGATTTAAACTGGGTTCCCTCAGGGGCCGCAAGGTGTTGCTAAGGGGTTCAGGGAATTTTATTTGGGCTGCCAAAGCTAATGTAACTAATAACCTAACTACCATTAACTAAAGGTAATAATTAAAGGAATTTTAATGTATTTACAGAATGTGTTTGTAATAATATTATATAATATTGATAATATTTATGTACCTTACTGTCTCGTTAAAACTGATTTGAAATGATATTTATTGTGAAAAGGGCTATCCAAATAAATACAATTATTTATTTTTTTTGAAAAGTTGAAATAAATTAAAATATAAATAGATAGCAGTTTAGTTTAAGCTAAAGTAAAAAATTACAAATAAATAAATTCATAAATATAATTAAAAAAAACAACAACAAAAACAAAGCCAAACAGAAATATTAAATATATCATAAGCACATAACAAAACTACTAAAACAAACTAAAATAACTGAAATGATAAAAATAAAAGCTAATTCAAAATATTAATAAACACTATAACAGTATATAGATAATATTAAAATAAATAACGCTTTCTCACATGGTAGAAAAGGGGACAAGATAAAGAATGTTAATGCCCCCTGGTGGTTATATGTTACTATAGTGGCAAGAGAGGGAGTATATATAAAATTCAACCCTAAAAAAAATAAAAGTCTACCTTAATGTATGATCATTATCAGACCACATGAATAAATAAAAAGTAATAAATAAATACATAAACACACAAATTCAAATGCATAAAGTACTTACAAACTTTGTGTTCCCCAGTTTGTCCTATTATGTGTCTGGCCTCTGAGCAACACCTCCCTGCCATCCTCATAGTCATCCTGATCCACACTGACAAGCAGCCGGACCCCCTCCTGTCCCGCTGCCCTTTTCAAAGAGTCTGTGATGAAGACTCCTTTCAGTGCCTCAAGCAGCGCCCCGCTTAGATAGTCTGCCCAGAAGGCATCCAGGTTGGCAAGTTCCGAGAACTTGATATCACAAACAATAGAGCCCAGATCCCGGGTACGGAGCAGCATGCTCGCTCGGCTGAACAGTTCAAATTGCCTCTCCAACGGCTGCGGCTTGTCTGATGAAACTCCTCCACGAAGGGCCGACTCGTGCTCTGAATACTCCGCACGCACACGCAGCCGGACATCTGAGAGCATAAGAGTGTTGGAGACAGAGAAAGAGAGGAGGGTGGGATGAAGGATGAAGGGTAACATGCAAAGGGGCATAGACAATCATGAGGGTATGGAGATGGATTTGTGAAGAGTCAGTGTGAAGGGTTTTTTTGCAGCAAGGATGGAGAGAAACAAGAAAAACAGTAGCAGGAGGAAAGGGGAAGAACACGAGACATGAAACAGATCAGTGGGGGGGGGGTCAAAATGAGAGCAAAAAGTACAATGATAATGAGACTTGACATTCAGTTTATATCAAAAAATTGGTTGAAAAATAACTAAGAATTGCACTGATTCATATACATTTGCTTAAAATAAGTTCCTGCCCTGTTTAAATTTTGATTGGTCTGTTACGGACAAAGCATATTAAACCAGAAGACACAAAAGTCAAACTCCTTCTGATACAGCATCAGCTCTATGGTCTACAGATCTACTGGATAACTGAGGTCAACATCCTCAAAATTGTTTAAGGTTGAGATTTTGGAGTCAATCGACCCTGATTTTTCACTTGTAGTCAGTGAGGCTACGAGTGAAACCAGTAGGCTGATTCAGGTTTTGCACTTGAGATTGGATAAATTCATCATGAGGTGGCTTTCAAATTATTTGCAGGCACACAGGGACTTGGAAACAAGCTGGTAAAGTCCAACATGTTTACTGAACATTGCACTTGTATCACAAAGACGAGGGAGATTTTAAAGCACATTATCTGAGGCCATTCGGAAAGTTCAGGTGGACTGAAAGCACCTCAAGCAAAATCCAGAGATGGGCTCACATTTGAGTTTCAGGAGACAGATCTGGTGATATTTATGGTTTGATATGTGGATCCGAATTCTGTAGGTGTCATTATTAACGGACAGATTTATGCAGGTTGGCTTTACCAAACAGTGGAGGTAGAACTGATGTCATGCAACAGCACAGGGAACAGAGACGGCAACATACGATTGGAGTATACATACTGAACCAGAGCTTCGCAGTGATGTCATTTCCTTTCATGTCATTAGCTCAGAGGTCAGAGGAGGAAGTGGACCCATCAATCTTCAGAACATTGCTGCAACACAAATCCAACCTTCCTACAACCAAAGCTCCAACACAAACTCCACCTTTTTGCATGTTGGGACTTTTACAAAGCAACAGTGAATATGAAAAAGTAGCCATTAATGTAGGGAGTAAGTGACTGAGTGACACTTTTTATTCATTTGTGAGAATAAATATAACATTGTTTAAATGCTTGAATATACTGCATTTATGGATTGCTTGTGAACAGCAGCACTTTAGGAATGATAATTTTGTCTTAAGGGGCTTTCGCACCGCATAGTTCTAGGAACTAGCCAGCAGGGTAGATCCTAGAGAACCAATTTCTCCCTCGGGCCATTTTCGGCAGCAGGAACTCTGAAGCGGCCGACAGCAATGGCTTTTTATAACGGAGATGGAGATGGAGATGTAAATGCACAATTTACGCAATTGCAAGAGAAAAAAGTTGGACTAAGAGACACATTTTTTTATGACAACTTGCAGTGTTACATATCATCGAAGCTGAGAAAAGAACACAACACTGCAAACAGGTAAATGCCATTATCGCTGTTTGTTCGTGGAGTAAATATGTTTACATGGCTTTTTAAAAATGCCGGGTGGCCGCTGTTTCGCGTGTGTTTGGCCAATCAGCGTACACTTACGTCACTGATAGTTCCTATAGAACTGTTTTAGACCCTGCTCTGAAGTAGGAGCTAAAACCATTCCTAGTTCCTGCAGTGCAAACACGCCAAAAAGTGGGTAGTTCCACAATTAGTTCAGGTACTATGAAAAGGTTCCCGCTGTGCGAAAGGCCCTTTAGTTATTCATAAAGTGACTGGAACTAAATACTCGACCGTAAACTTTCCCTTCATTATATAATCAATTCAGGTAAACAGTATAGGACTTTGCTAGTAAATATAATGATTCGCACCGGCAGCAGGAACTCTGAAGCGGCCGACAGCAATGGCTTTTTATAACGGAATTGGAGATGGAGATGTAAATGCACAATTTACGCAATTGCAAGAGAAAAAAGTTGGACTAAGAGACACATTTTTTTATGACAACTTGCAGTGTTACATATCATCGAAGCTGAGAAAAGAACACAACACTGCAAACAGGTAAATGCCATTATCGCTGTTTGTTCGTGGAGTAAATATGTTTACATGGCTTTTTAAAAATGCCGGGTGGCCGCTGTTTCGCGTGTGTTTGGCCAATCAGCGTACACTTACGTCACTGATAGTTCCTATAGAACTGTTTTAGACCCTGCTCTGAAGTAGGAGCTAAAACCATTCCTAGTTCCTGCAGTGCAAACACGCCAAAAAGTGGGTAGTTCCACAATTAGTTCAGGTACTATGAAAAGGTTCCCGCTGTGCGAAAGGCCCTTTAGTTATTCATAAAGTGACTGGAACTAAATACTCGACCGTAAACTTTCCCTTCATTATATAATCAATTCAGGTAAACAGTATAGGACTTTGCTAGTAAATATAATGACATATAATTACATATACACTAAAGTAAGATTTTTTATTAGGAAATACTTTTATTCTGTAATGATGTATTAAATTGATCAAAAGTGACACACTTTACATTGTTACAAATATTAAGCAGCTGTTTTCAACACTGATAATTAGAAATGTTTCCTAATCACCAAATTAGCATATTAGATAAAGGATCATGTGACACTAAAGACTGGAGTAATGGCTGCTGAAAATTCAGCATGCCATCATAGGAATAAATTACATTTTAAAATACATTAAAATAGAAAAACAGTTGTTTTAAATTGAAATATGTCACAATATTATTGTTTTGCCTTGGTGCGCATAAGAGACTTCCTTCGAAAACATAAAAAAAAGGTTTTTGACCAATACTGTAATAACAACATTTTTGTGATGGACAGTACATTGCTACTAATGCTTTAGCAATGTAATGCTTTCTTTTACCATGCCAAAAAGCTTCTTGAATCATACTTTGTGTAATGTAACTTTTGATTATTATAATTTAAAAACAACCATTCACACAATGGTCTTTACTAAAATATACTGTTCAAAGATTTGCCATTTCAGATGCAGACCAAAATGTAACACTTGACAATGAAACCAGCCAAAACAAGGCTTTAAATTTAGACTGATATTGTGGCTATAACCAGACAGGAACAACATTACTCAAGTTTTAAAGGTGCCATAGAATGCATTGATTCTCTGATATCTACATAGAAGGTATGTGCCTTAGGTAGGGGCAAAAAAATCTCCAGAAACGGTTTTACACGTCCATTTACAACCCTAGGATTTGTCCCTAGAATGAAATGGTCTGTTTTTACCTTATTTGGCAGGGTCATGAATAATAATGTTGAGCTCTGCTCTGATTGGTTGTTTCACAGTGCGGCTCAATGTTGAGCTCTGCTCTGATTGGATGTTTCTCAGTGCGGCTCATTTCAGTAGCTCACACAGCAAGAATGAAACTGCATTCGAATGCATGATCGAATTTTACTTTCACTTTCAAGATTTGCGATCACACATGCTGTGTAAACTACAGCGGCAGTACTTACCACACATTTTACAAGATCAGATGCTTGTCAGGGATGCTCAGGATCTGTAAATCATTCGCCATCATCCTCAGTCATCTCTCCTTACTCTGTTTATGTGGTAAGTGAAATCTTATGTACTGTAATGTAACAGGCTACTGCTAGCAAGCAGCTAACCATGTCCCTTTAGTGGCTCGCGTTTTTTTATTAGAACAAGTTATTTGTTTTCCGTGCCTTTCTGAATACAGACACCAACCCAACCCATCCCTGCACATCACATCCCCTGCACAGCCTGGAACATAACATTTATTTCCATGATCTGCCATTTTTGCTATTATCCGCATTTGTTTCTTCACAATACCTGCAGAACTTCTGATGATTCGGCTGTGCAGGTTCGGCTGGCGGCTGGCATAGAACATGGGCGGGTATATGCAAATGTTGGGGGCGTAACTATTAGTGATCACGACTGTAACGGCACAGTCGGTGTTATGTTCTGATTCGCCTGTTTTTCAGTGGTCTTTTGCATGCACAAGATTTACATAAGGAGGAGGAAACAATGGTGTTTGAGGCTCATGGTATGTCATTTCCATGTACAGAACTGTTATTATTCAACTATGCCAAGGTAAAAACAGTTTTCCATTCTATGGCACCTTTAAATTTAAAAGATCATGTTGGTCTGCCCAACAATGTTCTCAAATATAATTTGTAACGCAGGTTGGAAAGCAGACTCGAAACACAAATCTTCTTTAACGTTCTTTTAAACACAGCACACATTTACAGAGCACTTTTAGTTCCATTAAACAAACATTATCAGAGCTCCTCACATAAACTAATACAGGACATTGTTTTTTCTCAGCTTCCAGTTTCAGTACACAGAAGGTACCCATAATAAGCGGTACAGTGGAGGTTTTTCTGTCAATATATTTAATGCCCCCCTTGTAAGCATTACTTTTTTTTGTGCATCCCAGAGCATTTCAGAAAAATAACATGTATTCACAAATATTCAGATATTTCATGTAAAAAATGTTGCAAATTTCTTCTTACAAACAAACAATAATTATTTTTTTACAAATCAAATAAAAATGTCGTGCGTCATTTTATGGGGTGTTGCTCCATGCGAAGAGCTTCCACACTTATTTCGATCCCTCTTTCCTTGATTGTTTTTTTTTTCTTTCATTCTCTCCTTCTCTTAGTATGTGAGGATGGCCAACTTGTTTTTGTTCCTGACACTTGAGTCAGTATGTTTTTCAACTGTGGACATAGAGAAAGGAGAGGAAGAGAGAGAGAGAGAAACAAGCAGTTTTGGATGAATGTTGTTGCAACAGTTTTGCTGTGTCTTATTTTTTGGTCAAGCAGGCAAAGTTCATATGCATAATCTCTTGTCTTTGTGTAAAAGCAACATTTTCTAATTCATTACTACGGAGACTGCAGGATCAAACCTCTTTG